ACCCCTTCTCAGCCATAGTCTTTATTTACTTTTGTTCCAGACTTATTTCTGTCCCTCAAAAATAGACATGGTTCAGTCAACAAGCTCTTTGTTAATATTACCATTTGTTTTGGTGTGATAAGTTGACCTATTTTAAAGCACAAATTCATAAATAATTTCATTTAGCCTCTAAAGAAAATGGCAGTAATTGTGGTTCTGTGAAGCATACTTCTAAAAACATCTGTCACAACAAGTTTCAAACGCGAAGTTGAATTAAAAAACTCCCAACTTTACAAGCTAACCATTCCCTTTAATGTTCCAAAACATTGAACAACTGCGAACAAGAGAAGCACGTGATGTCCAAAGCAGGCTTTAATCAAGTAAAATTAAAAAAAAAAAAAAAAGTGAAGTTGGACACTTTGTTTTTAATTCATCTCTTAGAGGAGATTTTGGCTTTTGTACGCGGGTGGTTTTGGTTTAGAGAAATTCTTGTGACTTGGAAGAACAGTTCGTTTTGCATAATATCTTTCTTGTCAGATGAGCATGTTGTATTTGTACATTCTGTCTGACCTTCAGTGTGTTGGGATACCAGGGCAGGTATTTTCAAATCTTGGCAGCTGGCAGGAAGGAGGGAGAAGGTAACATTCCCAAAACATGTTAGCTCGTTCATTTTGGCAGAAAATGGGAAAGGAAGAGAGAAAAAATAGAGGGGAAAAACAAGGTAGAAGGGGGAGAGGAAGGAGGTAGACAAGCCAGAAAAACAAGGAGTGGTTTTTCAGAGTTGATTATGTGGAGATAAACATCAAGGTCCTGACCTGCTCTACTGAGATCTGATTTTTCTGGCAGAAATGGCTGAACTTTCTGCTCTTGTGCTGTTCTGTAATTTTACTGTCCCTCATGGTGATAGAGGAATTTCCCTCTCAGCCTCCTTAAAATCAGAATTACACTGTTGCAGCTTTATAGTAGTGCCATTTGAGTAGGATCAAAAATCTTTCTATGTTTGGAATGCAAGTTAATATAAGTTTTGCATGTATTTGAAAGATCAGGAAATGAGGTTAGAAGTTTTCCAGTAAAGAAAAAATTACTGCTTAGGTCAAAACCTCTTCTGGTAGGGTCAGTATGTAATTCAAAGGGTTATGTCTGAGCTATATTATGTACAGGGCAAGCTGAATGAAACAGATTCATAGAATGAGTATAAATACAGAATATTGTTAATGTTTGCTGTATACTCACAGTACCTTTTAACTGTTTATTAAAGTAGCTGGTTGGTTGGGCTTTTTTTCAATAATTGTTTTTTTATGCATTACACTGAAGAAACTTTTAGCATGATGGGCTTACTGTTTCACATGAAAATACGAGCCTTTTTAGCTGTAGTTCGTATGTCTGTAATGTGGTGCGTGATAGCTTATGGAGTGGACATGCATGTGGTAAACTTTGCAGATTTTCTTTTTTACTAAGCTGTGTTTTCTGCTCTTTTGTGAGGAACTCATTACTTTTTCAGTGATGCTTCATTAAAGTACAAGGTAATTATGTTAGGGTAGCTTTAATTCATCACCATCTGAAAAAAAACCCAGTAGATAACCAAATTACTAAAGACTGGATAACCTTGTTTGCCAGCTTCTAGAGGCAGTGGTTGTGTAGAATAATCAGACAGTTCTGACTGCTGAAGATGATTTAAAATATTTCTGTTGGTATAAATGTTACAGTGGTGGGATTTGGGGAAATGAATTTGCAGTGAAGTCTACGAACAGAGGCTTCTTTTGCTTTCAGTTTACAGCACAGTTGGCAGACAGATGTGTTTGAGACTGTACCTACCGTTGAGATAGCAGGGGATGTAAAAGGCAGTGAAAAAGGCTTCTGTGGATATACCAGTTGTGAAAAGGCAACGAGGAAAAACACAGGCGTGATGCTGAAGGCATCGGGGACCTAATGTCGAAAGGTTGAGGTCGGCATCTTCTTTGCTTTGGTCTCTATTTGCAAGACTTGTTTCCAGGTTCCTTGAGTCCCTGTGCCTAGCAACACACATCTGACAGAGCTAGATACTTCTTTGTCTATATGGCAGAGGGAGAGCAAGTTGGGGGCAGGCCAGTTCTGTGAGCCAGTCATGCATGAGTTGGTGAGACTGGATAGGATGTGTCAGGGGGAGTTGGCCAGTGTCATTGTGTGGATGGTCTCCAAAAGGTGGTAGATGTGGTGGTGGGAGGGCTCCCAGTAGCAGGAAAAAAGAAAATGTCACACCTGGCTTTGAGGAGAAGGAGGAGGAGGATGTGGGGTAACTACAGGCTGGTCAGCCTAACCTTAGCCTTCAAGGAAGATTGTGGGGCAGGTCCTCCTGACAGCCATGTCCTGGCTCTTAAAAGGCAAGAAGGTGACTGGGAATAGCCAGAACGGCTTAACCAAAGGCAGATCTTGTCTGACCTGTCTGATTGCCTTCTGTGACAGGATGTGTGGCTCAAGGTACCAAGTGAATGTTGTGAATGTTACCTTGGCTTGAGTGGTGATTGAGGAGATGACCCTGGACTCTTGGAGGCAACGGGCACAGGCTGTGGCAAGGGAAGTTCAAACCATGCATAAGGAACAAGTTCTTTACAGCAAGAGTAGTCAGTGATTCTTGAGAAGTGTCAGGGAATCTCCATCCCTCAGAATACTAGAAACTTACGTGGTCAGGGCCACAAGCAGTCCCGTCTGATTTAAGACTTGGATCTGCTTTCTGCAGAGATCGTGCCAGATCATCTCTAGAGGTCCCTTTCAAGCTAAATTATGCTGTGATTCTCAACAGATTACAGAGGATTTAGGGTACTGGTAATGATGTAACTTGTCAGATGCAGTTTAAGACAGTTTATGTGTATACAAATTTTTAACCTCTGTATCTTTAAAGTCAGATACTTTGGAACATCCTAACATGGTGTGGAAAGTGAAGACAAATCAAATGCCTAATGCTGTTCAGAAACTCCTTCTGGTAGTGGACAAGAGAACTTCAGGGATGAATGAGTCACTGGAGTTGCTGAAGTGTAATGAAAACCTGCCCTCTTCTCCTGGATATGCATCCTGTGATGAACACATGGAACTTGGTAAACAATATGACTTTTTGAGAAGTAGCCAAATCCTGAAGTTTGTTGTAGTTTTCCTATAGTGAGATGACTGGAAGCTGACTGAGATTACTGATTTTTAACGTCAGTAGGGCAGGGAATATGACAGTGAATTGTGTCATCTGAAGGTCTTATTTTGCAGTCACTTTCCCTTTAACCCATTTCCAGTTTTGACACACTGGCCTGTTGACTTAAATGTTTTCTTGAACTCAGCTACAAATTTCTGCCCTTAATCTCCAGAGGAGTTGTTTTTTTGGCACAAGAATAACAAACAGCTCAAGAGCTCCTCCTAAAGGGAAATTATGCTGCTTCGGAGCAGCTGGAAATAGAGATCCTGGGCTAGAGGAACATTTAACTTCAGTTCTTACATATTGGAGAAAAATAGCATGTATATTAGAAAGTATTGATGCAAGCAGTGAAATGCTCATACATTTAATTGGGGTTATGGAGTGATTAAGAATAATATTACTTAGTTACAGGAGAGTATGTAACACAAACTTCTGTTAGGAAGCTGAGCTCTCTTCTGCTCTTCTATGTAACATGAAATGTGTAGATTGTTGATAAAAATTCACCCCTACCAAGCTGTATACCCAGCTTTCATGACTTATCAGTAATTTCATTCCAGTTCCCTGGTGGAAACACAGAAAACTTTTGCCTTGTGCAGCCCCCGATATTGATGACTTCAAGTGTCACACCTGCTAGGAAAGATTAATTTAGTTGCCTTTTGTTAAATATTTGAGTGAAGCATGTTGCTACATTTGCATAATTCTGCAATCCTCTGTAAACTAGTCAGTCTAGTAAAAACTTTAAAACCAGAACTACATTTTTAAGTAGTTAATGTTTTTCTTAAATTGCTTGCATGAATGTATAGTAAAGATGTGATTATTTTTTGTGGCCGTTTTGTCAGTATTATGAATAAGATTTGTGAGGTGTTGGTAGATGTGATATGCAGAATGTAAAATTAGTTGCTTCATTTTGATCTTTATTTGCAAGATCTGGTGTCAACTAAAATTTAGCAATGGGTATAATTATGTTAATTTGTGCATTTTTTCATAGATGATCTTCCTGAACTTCAGGCTGTGCAGACAGATTCTACCCCACCTGCACTTTTTCAGCTTGGTGCTGATGTTTCACATCAGGAATGTTCAAGGCCTTCGTGGAACCAAAATACCTCAAACAGCAATTCAGAAAGTGCTTATTCTTGTGAGAATGGGGTGAACTGGTTGACAGAATTAGCAAATATAGCCACAAGTCCTCAGAGTCCTTTGATGCAGTGCTCTTTTTATAACAGGTACTGACATTCGTTTCAATTTAGAACTGTGAAGATTTGTAGTATGCCTTCAAAAACATTCCCTTCACTCTTGACACCCTCTGACTTCAAACTGGAACCCTGTTTCTGATCTTTGTATGTAGTAACTTTATTATTCTGTGGAAGATTGCACAGAACTTGTTTCAGAGCCTGTTGCAAAAGCTGCTTAATTGCCAGGCACGAATAAACTAGAATGTTATAAGGACATTGCCTAACCACAGAAAGCTCAGAAATTATGGGCATTTACTTCATGCGAAGCAGCAGATGAAAAATCTAAGATGTATTTATTACATTAAATTCTTAATACTTACTAGCTCGCTGACTTTAGATGTTTTCTTTAAAAGAGATAATTGGAAATCTAATGCAATATTTTTTTTTATTGATAGTGTCTTCAGATTTGAGATCTGTAAATTCTGTATAGCTGTGAGAAGCAGTGTGAGGCTGGGCTTCACCTTTTATTGGATGGCTTTGGTCTTAGGTTTACAATAAGAAACTTTAATGCAGTGCTGTCAACAGTAATGCAGTTGGGATTTAATCATTAGAACAGAACGGATGTCTTTCTGTACTGTAAGAATGGGGTATTGATGATACTTGTAAAAATGTCGGCATTGTGACCAGGAGACGCTAACATGGAGGTAGCACTGTCATTTGGGTGGTTTAATAGAAGCTATGCAGAAGTTATGCTAAATGCTCCCTTTGCCTGACCTTGCACCCTTTAATCATCCCATTTGAATGTTGGGGTGCGGGAAGTTTATTGGTAGTCGGCTCATGGAAATAGAAATATTTGTTAAATAAAAGCATTTTAGAGTAATGTCAGCGAAGTCTTACGTTGTCTTAATCGGAAATACTTTAAAATACGTTTTTCTCCTGTAGATCATCTCCTGTTCACATAATAGCTACAAGTAAAAGTTTACATTCCTATGCACGTCCTCCACCAGGATCTTCAAAGAACGACCCCAACTTCTCCAAGAATGATGTGGATGAAACACCAGTCAGACATGAAAGAGTGAGTTGTTCTGAAGCATTTCTAAAATAAAGATGCATGAGTAGTGGGTTAAGCTTTTTGAGAAGAGAAACTAGTGTTAAAAAATCATCTGTTTAGTTCTAATACTATTTCTATTTAAGCTAGATTTTCTGTTACTTTTCTTTTTACCAAACACAGTAGGCTTGTAGTGCTCTATCAGAGTCCACGTTTCTGTGAAGAGATTGTAAGAAAGCTCTGCTTCTCTTGTAGTTCCTTCTGTAGCAAGCTTAAAAAAATTACATTCACTTCTTTGCTGTCTCAAAAAGGGAATACAGAACCATCTCCTTTTAGATGCATAAAACCTGTTAGTCCTGCTTCTCCCCTTTCTGTGCATTAATTTGTGTCTGAAACTTGTCTATTAAAGACACTGAGTTTTTCCTAGTGATTTATCTAGAACCTGCTTGGCCCTACAGCTTTCCGGTAACTTGACCAAGGACTAATGTGTGCTTTGGGTGGTTCTGTGGATAGCTAAGGAATGATAGCTTGTAAAATGCTTGTACCTAAGCATAAAATAAGCATAGGTGTGAAATGAATCTCAGAGAATTAAACCCAAAAATTTCAGGGTGGCACATGTCAAGAGAAGATGAAACTATTCACATTTGCTACATTCCTTGAATCTTTGTCTTCACATTACATTTCTATTAGTATTTCAGGCAAAGTAATTAGAGAGATGTAAATTCAAGGATGTATCTAAAGATACATGAGACCAACTCTAAAATCTATTGCAGTAAAATATCAACACCATTCTGCTTTTTTTTTAACAGGCGAATAGTGAATCAGAATCTGGCATTTTCTGCATGTCATCACTTTCAGATGATGATGATTTAGGATGGTGCCATTCCTGGCCCTCAACTGTTTGGCATTGTTTTCTAAAAGGTAAACTGACATGTATCACTGACTAAGTATTTGGTTTTTCTTGGGTTTTTTGTTGTTGTTGTTTGCTTGGTTTTGTTTGTTTGATTGTTTTTTTGTAGCACAGACTTCTTTACATAACACTAATCTTTTCTTTTTTCATAAAACATCTGTTAGGCTCTCGTTTGTGCTTTCATAAAGGACGCAATAAAGAATGGCAGGATGTTGAGGATTTTGCAAGATCTGAAAGCTGTGGAAAAGAGGAAAATCTCCCAGCGAGTCCCTACAAGGTAGCTGTTAGTTCGGATAGATATATTTTAATACCTGTAGCAGATACTTCGTTTCTTTATGTTATTCATAGAATCATAGAATGGTTTGGGTTGGAAAGGACCTTAAGATCACCTAGTTCCAACCCCCCTGCCATGAGCAGGGACACCTCGCACTAAACCATGTCACCCAGGGCTCTGTCCAACCTGGCCTTGAGCACCACCAGGGTTGGAGCATTCACGATTTCACTGGGCAACCCACTCCAGTGCCTCACCACCCTCACTGTGAAGAACTTCTTCCTTATATCTAACCTAAACTTCCCCTGTTTAAGTTTGAAGCTATTACGCCTTGTCCTACCGCTACAGTCCCTAACGAAGAGTCCCTCCCCAACATCCTTGTAGGCCCCCGTGATTATTTTTCCTTGTGCCTTTATTTACTGTCTCGGGAAGACAGGTTTGTGCTAAACTTGCCTAGAGCTGCTCACTATACTGTTTGAGCATCTTAACTATAAAGCAATCAAACTGAATTCATTTAGGTATGTTTTATATGTTACATTGTTTATTTCTAGAGAGAGCACTTAGAATGTTGGTATTTTTTAATATAATGTAAGATGATGAGTATACACCTGTAGTATACACAGGTGTGTGCTTTTCTTGAACTATATGTATGTTTACAGGGCTATGGTTCTGATGGTCTGAAGTTGATTTCTCATGAAGAAAGCATTTCCTTTGGTGAGTCAGTGCTGAAGCTGACTTTTGATCCTGGCACAGTGGAAGATGGCTTGCTTACAGTAGAATGCAGACTCGATCACCCTTTTTATGTTAAAAATAAAGGTATGAAATACTATAAGTATACTTGGTTGTATATTAAAACATTCTTAGAAAGCAGTTGCAGATTTTATTGCATCCCGTGTTGCTCAAGAAATTGATAAAAGCAGTGTTGTAGAATCAGTTTACTATCTTTGTAAATAAATCCAGAATTTGAACGAACAAAACTGGAAAGCTATAAAGCTGCAGAAATATACTGCATGTCTTTTATGGAAAGATTTGATCAAGAATATAAATGGATCTGAGGAAAGAAAAAATGGGGGGGATAAAGGAAAGCTGCAAATAAGGGAGGCTTTTCTCACTTGCTAAACATGAAACTTCTGATGATAAAAGTTGCCAGGTTTTGATTACTTTTTTGCTAAGAATAGATTTAAAACTACTTGCAGTAAGAATTCTCCAAGTAAGTGTTTCTGGTTTTTCTTCTGGGTGAAAGAGACTACATCAGATTAGTTTTATAAAGTGATACCTTTTAGAGATTGCTCCAGTTAAGAACTAGAGAGATTGTCTGGCCGTTTGTCTAATTTAACTCTTTACCACTTCAGGTTGGTCATCTTTTTATCCAAGCTTGACTGTGGTACAGCATGGCATTCCATGCTGTGAAATGCATCTTGGAGATCTGTGTCTACCTCCTGGACACCCTGATGCCATTAACTTTGATGATTCAGGTGTTTTTGATACATTTAAAAGGTAATTTTTGGATAAAGTGGCCTCAGTGGTTCTTATATTTAATGAGTAGGCACCTTAAGTCTGCAAGAATTTGAAGCATTACGTAGAGCAAAGAGAGAAAACTTGAGGTAATACAAGATAAATGAGAGGGAAAAATGAAGACTGAATACTAGGGAAACTGTGTAATCATGTGCTCTGCTAAGCTGCAAAGTTTATTTCACCTTGGAGTGAAATAATATAATTTAAAACAGACTAGATAAAGCAGTAAATATGTATATTATCTGTCTAAATTCTACAGGTAAAGTGGGTTATGTTTGAAAAGCCTAGACAGTTTTCCTGCAGTAGCTATTAACTTGTGCTTCATATACAGCTATGCATCTGAATTATCATAGTAGTTTCTCAGTAATAAATGTATGTGCTATGGCTTTAGAATGCAAGACGTTTCATAGTTCTTACTATATTTGTATATTCTGCTTTTTGTGATTCTTTTCCAATATATCAAACTTGCCAAACTTTCAAAGATCAGTTTTGAGGTTTGCCTTGCTTTTGAGCAAGAGGTTCAACCAGATAACCTTCAGAGGTACTGTCCACATAGATGATTCTAAGGAAATAATACTACCCGTAAGATTTTCCCATATTTTCCATACTTCCATGTTTTGAGATTTCTAGGTTTAGTAAAATCCAGCTTCTCCTATGATGTTTGCTCCTTCTTAGCATCTCTTTAGTCTGGTTGCTTTTTGGTCTTCTAAAAATAGAAAAGAAGAATTTAAAATACTGTTCCAAGTGCTTGTCTTCACTCATTTGCTGTCTGGGCTTTTTTCTTATTAACTCCTATTCTTACTGCATGTGTAGAGAGTTGTTAGCATCATTCTATTTACATCTCACTTGTGGCTTCTTACTCATCTCAAAGCCAGACACTTCAAATTCCTTGTTGTGTCTTTCTGGACAGAAGGGAGTAAGTCACAGAGAAAGGAGTGCATGGCAGCAGCTGTACTGGATAACAAGACAGAAGAATTGAAAAGCAAAATCCTGTTGCTGTGTTATGGGAAGGAGATTAGGAGTAGGACAGGTGCTAGACTATTTGTACAACAGAAAGGCCCTTTCTCACTGTCTTGTGAGCTTGCCTACAAGCGTTATCCCTTCTTAGTTGCTTTCTACTTTTCTAAGGGATTTTGGAGGCAAATCTTCAGGCTCCACCCTTGCTTTTGGTTCTGTCCCACAGAAAGGAGCTGCCTTTGTATGTGAGGGCTGGACTAGAAGCAGTGTTTCCTTGTTAGTAGTTGTGCTTTGTGTTCATAAAAAAGCTCTTCATTGAGCAGTGGGTGAGCGAAGTCTTAGAGTTAAAGACACTTTATGTTTATTTTGTGGTGGTAATTCAGTGTTTTAGATTTATGATTTGAGTATCACCTTTATGGTGTGTTTTCCCCATATAGCATGCTAAAGGCTGTATAGCCTGTGTTCCTGGAGATGGTAACAGTTTGTGGAATTAAACTACTTCTGTAGTGGTTAGAGGTTAATTGTAATAGTTGGTCAACAAAAAATTACAACACTTCACAGAATTTGGAGGTCTAAATTGTATGGAAACAACTCATCTAAGCTGTTGAAATACCTTGAAATATTGAGGAACCTCACATTTTTGTCACTAGAGGGCAGACTTTGTCAGCTTTAAAGCAAAGAGTATGCATCAAATTTTTAATCTCACTAGAAGATTTGTAATATGTATTTAAGTTATTTGTATAATAGCCTATATAATAGAATTTCTTTAAGTGGTTTTATATTTGTAATTAATATATATTTGCAAGTGAATTCAACGCTTACTCTTCCCACATTAGTTGTCCCTTTCAGTACCTATCACTCACTGACCAGATTTGCTTTATGGTAAGGACAAAAGGAAAGAAGGAAGCTTATTTCAAACGAGGATGAAATTTGAAGACAGTATACAATTGATACACAACTGGAGAATTGATAGTACCCAGCAGACCTTACTAAGTTGCAGTCTGCCATCACACCAAAAACACTGTTAATTCATGTGCCAAAGTTTTGTTTGGGCTCTTTTTTTTGTTTAGGTTTGGTTATTTTTTCATGCTGACATCTGCATCAAGTGCAAATCATTAAAATCACACAAAAACCCCCAGAATACTATCAGTGTAGCATAAATGAAGAGTGAGTAGCTATTCAGGGATTTTATGTGAAAGTTACTCGATCATTTTCTGATAGTATCTTTTTGTTGCAGCTATGATTTTACCCCAATGGATTCCTCTGCAGTTTATGTGCTAAGCAGCATGGCTCGCCAGCGTCGCGCTTCTCTGTCCTGTGGAGGATCAAACAGTCAGGATGCCGAGAGATCAGAGTGCAGTAGTAAAAACTGCGCGTCTCCTGCGTCGTCACATCTTTCCTCCAGTTCTTTGTGCAGCAAAGCTGGCAAAAGCCACAGCTCAGGGACTGCAAGTACTGTGAGTGCCACTTCTCCAAACAAGTGCAAAAGACCAATGAATGCCTTCATGCTTTTTGCCAAAAAATACAGAGTTGAATACACTCAGATGTATCCAGGGAAAGACAACAGGTAATGGTGTAAAACTGTAGATTCGTTATTGCTGGTGAACTAGCAGAATATGTGTGTCCCTCCTTTAGGTGGACTACGTTTTGCATTTGAAATAAAATGCGTGTACATTGTTTAAAGAAAAGGCTTTGAAAGATGCTGACACAAATCTTAATCTATGGGCGGACTTTAAATATTTACAGTACTTAGTAAATTTGACACAAGCCATTTTTGGCAAACTTGCCTTCTGAGAAAGCATTTGGGTAAAGCAACTGACGTATGTCTATATGTGCACCAGCAGAGTCACAAATACAACAGTCTGTTTATACTGGTGAGAAAAGGTGAAAATAAGCACCATGTGCTCTGCTTGTGTGTTGTAATGGAAAAAGGGAATTTCTGATCCTTCTGATAAAGTCTTGACATAATACTGCAAATTGTTCAGTGAAGTTACTACCATTTATCCTCTCTGTACATCATATTGAATAAGGGAGTACTGATTGTTAGGATATCTGAAAGATCTTAATTCAAACAGTCCCTTGCCAAATGGTGCTTGTCCTAAAGGCATTCAGTGATCTGCAGGACTCTGTGTGACCCTGTGTTTGAGGAGAGTTCTTTGTTGGTTTGTTCTTTTATCTAGATGCATGTTCATGTCTGAACTTTTTTTTCCACAAAGCTCTCCATTATAATGTTTTAAATAGTCTTTAATATTTTGTGCTAATTGTGCATATGTAAATGTAAACTAAAATACATGAACATGCACTGATCTTGTAATCAGATTTTTTTACATATGTAACATTATGAAACTTACTATAAAAATTACTTTATCACATACAAATTCTAGTACTAAATCTGGTAAAAACTAAAGGTGACAGGTCTTTGAGAGGGTTTTCTCTATTTTATAATGTTGTAGTAGGGAGGCTGTAACTGGTGTTGAGAAGTAAAATCCTACCATACAAATAACACATCCTTAAATCCCAGGCAGTCTTGTGTGTCCTGGCAGTGATGTTCTGCAGTGTTCACAGTAACTTCAGTGAAGCAGATCTGCTGTCTTCTAACTCACTGCAACTATCAAAGATAAATCAAACAGAAGGTCCGCTAGGAAAGTTTACACGGTTATATGTTTCATTTAAAATGCTGATTTCAAACAGATGCAGTGAACTGGAGCTGTAGCTGCATGGATGTGTGAAAATAAGTTGGCTATTTCAGTAAGCAGGTTTACCTTGATGGAAAGTGATGACAAAGTTACAAATAAGCTTCAGAGTGCATGGCTCACCATCCGAGTTGGAAGGCAGTGTGTTTGGATGCAGTTTATTGGCATACAGTACAGAAGAAATCATAAGAGTTAGTGATAATTGATTATATATGCATTCAACTACTGTTGCTTAAGTGTGGCTGGGGCATTTATTAATTTAGCTGTTCAGAGGCAACTCTCGTGATTTTAACTTTAGTATACGTCATTTTTAATTACTGATCTTACAGTTGATTACATGTAGTACTCATTTCTGTATACTGGAGATCTTACGTAAGAAAGGACAGACCTTGAGGTATTTGGAATTAAATGGTGTGTTCTGAGACAAAGCAGCTCAACGAGATAGCAAGCTGTAAACATTCAAAACACAAGTCAGCTTTCTTATGGTACTTTAAAATGCTGTGGACTGTAAGAGCATACTTGAGAAACTGGTGTTAGGGTAGCACTTTTTTCTAGATATTCTCACTGTAACTGTAGTTGGACTCAATTGTGCCTTCAGAAATACTTGAATAATTTAAGTAGTGTATGTTCTAAAGACAGTCACCTAAACTATTCAGAGCATTTGTTCATGCTGAACAAAATTACTGAGTAAACTTGAAGCATTCTCAACTACTGTTTGACAATTTCCTTTGAATTAGCTGCAGTATAAGGGGTTGCATCCTGCACATCAGTCTATTGCTGAAAAGTTGTCAGGTACCTTACCAGCATTTTAAGAGGACAAAGGCAGAGTACAGAGCACTGTGTAGCTCTGGTGAGGTGAAGGACACCTAAGGCAGTGATGCAGTAGGATCACCTTTTTCTTGCTTCTGGTCAGGTCTGTGTTATGTCAGGAATTTCCCTGTACACATTTTTTTTTTCAGTCTCAGTGGTTTCCTCACAGAACTACTCCTTGGCAAAATGGACCTTTTGTCTCTGCATTAGATTTCAGTCTTCTTGGAATGTACAAACCTCTGCTCATTTCCAGTGCCTCACTGCAGTTTTTTTCTCTGGAGGTATAAAACACATACATGTTTTTGCATCTGAAATACAAATATTTCATAGTTTATTTTATTTGGAAGTGCAGTGGCTTTTCCAGCAAACCTGTTCTCTGGGTCACCATGTTCTTTCCTGGGGGTATGAGTGACCCAGTATAAACTGGTGACCAAAACCAGACAGCTTTCTGGTGCTGTTGATTTGCCTCTGCTAAAACATGGAAGAGCTGCTAATTAAACCAAAGTGTGCTTACTTCTGATGGCAGACCAAAGATACTGGTTCTCAGTTGGGACAGAAAACCAGACATTGCATTGCCAAAGAGACAGGCTGTGCCAGTGGATTTGATGTGGATGGGGTCTGGCTGCAACTTGAGGAGTTTGCTCTAAGGAGCCACCAGAGCGTGTGACAGCACAAGGCTGAGTGGCAGCCCCGGTGGAGTTCCTGCCGTGCTCTCTGGGTGCTCTGCAGCTCCTGCAAGGCTGAGCAGTACTACACAGTCTTGAAGGATTAAAATGCATTTTCTTGTTACAGTGCAGAAAAGCCTTCAGGAATTGTGTATGTGCATCAACCTATGGAAAAGGTTGAGGACACTCTGCTCTTCTTGATTCTCTTAGAAAGTCTATGAACAGCTTTGCTGCCAGCAAGGCACTTTTTAACATGATAAAGTTGTTTGCACCTTTTTTTTTTTTAAAGCTGATCACAGAACGTTGATCTCTGCAATCTGAAGCTAAAGCACCTGCTCAGTAGTTGAGCACTGGTAAAAGAGCTGCTGTTTAGAGATTTTCATTCCAATAAAGGATGGAGCTAAAGCTTTAAGGGAATATTGATCCAGCATTTGGGAGTGTGGTTGAGTAATATGGCAGGATAATAATGGGAAATCCTGTCCAAAAGACAGCAAATTTATAAGGAGGAGGAAAGCAATTCATTTAGTAATTCGTTGTTAGAACAAATAGTTCCTTTTGCGTAGGAATGGGAACTTCCAGTATGTTCTGCCCAGTATGGATTAAAGATGGAGGAGGCTGCACACATCCATTAAATAGACATGGGGATTTGCAGTTAATCAATATTTGTTTGGCTGAAGTCATATTCAGATCATTGCCCTAATTATTAGAGAATGTATTTTCAGCAAATCTGTCATATGATCTTCTAGTATGAAAGTAGAGCAAAACTAATGTGAGTTACCATTTGGTGGTGTTTTTTTTAACATCCCTATTTTGCTGGTTTATGTCAGTTGCTGTGTATTCAAATGTGCACCCGCTGAAATGTTAGAATGTGCACTGACCCATGCTCAGCTAGCACAGAATCCCAGCTGTTTAACTGTTAAAGTATGAAAGATAATCAGAAACAGGATTCTTTAACAAAAATATTTAGATACGGTTGATTTCTTCTGTGTGTGTGATTTCAGCACTTAACTTTTGTCTTCTTTAAAGTGCTCAGATAAAAGCCAACAAAATTAGGGTTCTTCTTAACAGCCTGTCCTGACCACACTGTAAACATTGTTTTGCAGAGCCATAAGTGTGATACTTGGTGACAGGTGGAAGAAAATGAAAAACGAAGAAAGACGGATGTACACGCTAGAAGCCAAGGCCTTGGCAGAAGAACAGAAACGTCTAAATCCTGACTGTTGGAAACGAAAACGAACTAATTCTGTATGTTTGTGAAGCTTGCTTCATTGTGCAGTGAAATGTGTTCATACGGTAGCGACAGTAGGTTTTGTTCAGGATGAACTGCTGTCTACTTCTGTCTTGATAGCCCAAACCTTCATTTTGCTCCCCTATGTTAGGTAGCCTCCTTTAGGACAGTTGGTAGGAGACAGATCAGGAGAGGGCCTCTCACTATGTTCTTAATTCTACCAGTTCTGCTGGACTGAAAGTGAGTGTGTTTGTGAAAGGCAGAGGAAGGTTACGTGACCTTTTGTTTGAAGTAACTGAGTTCACAGGGTCATACTAAAGTACATCTGTCCCCTCAGAAACACTTAAACTTTAACAAAATCCTTCCTTGGTTCAGTCTCATTTTTCTTTACCATTTTCTATCTTTTTTACTTATTTCTGTCAGTATACGTGAACTTACTGAGGGAGCAAGCTATTTTTTTCCATTAATCCCTTTCATTTATTACTCTGTTAGTAAAATAAATACAATAGTTAACACTTCTGTAGGAAAATAAATTGTTCTCCACTTTGTAGAAGGCCATTTTAAGAGTCTGCAGCAGTGTAGTAGTAGGTGGTGGATGTATTAAGATAAGGACTTTCAACCTCATTCTGCCAGCCTGTATGTTCAGCTAGAAGAGAGGCTGGAAGGAAAGATCCACGTTGGTGCACAGAACGCCAGGTCCTTTCATCAAGCCATTTTTTGCCTAGGTAGGGGCATCAAGTGTAGTGTGGGCTTCACAGGTTTAAGGTTTCATTCCCGATTTACCCCTTTTCCTTTTTTGTGTAAATGAGGCTACTTTCTCAAGAGCAGGTGTTGCCTTAAGACTGAGTAAGAAATGCTCCAACTCTCAGTTGCTGCTTATTGCTGTTATGTACTTGGTGCTGAGTTTTCAGTCCCTTCTTGCAGATTTCACCAAACCCCAGCTGCAGGGAACAAGCTGTTTTTCTGTTCACTGTATTCTATTTTAATCAACAGTAACAGCTTATGTTAGATCTCCTTGTGGGTTTAGTTAAAATACTACTATTTATTTATTCTGCTTTTACACTACTGCAGTCTCAGGCATTGGGTGGTGAGATCAATTTTACACATGCACTTGTGAGCTTCAGGGAGCTTGGTGGGGGTGTTTGTGCATAACTGAGAGGAATAGTTGGCCTTGGGAGGAAGGATGGCTTTCTCGCCCTGCCTTCTAGTAGGATTTTCCTTGGTCTTCAGACCAAAACAGCAGGATTTGTAGGACCTGTTACTGCAGTGTTACAACAGGAAACGCCTTTTTTCATTGTTTAGTGAACTAAGAATTTTGTTAGCAACCTGGTTACTTCATCAAGTAATGATGGTTGGCTCTGGCTGTGACGAAGTCTTGATGGTCTTTTGATGATGGAGGATAAAATAATCTGTTTGGGCTTTTTGTTTTCTTCAGAATAGATTACAAGTACTTGTGGCTTTCAAAACAAGCCTTTGCTAGATTTAAGATAATGTCTCCTTCCCCTTTGCTTGATTAAGTGCTAACCTGATTCTCTCTTCTCTTTTCTCAGGGCTCACAACAGCATTAAGCCAGAATTTTCCTGTTAACTCTGTATTTACAAAATGGCTGTTGCTTGATGGCAAGAAGATGCACGATCAAGGTCTTACTATTTGTTGTGACTTTGTGTGACCATAAAATACTGGCACCATCAAGTTGGAAATGATCTAATATGAGTGCAGATTTGCTTTTTACAATAGAACATTAAGTAAGCTAAAACTATCAACATTTTAAACCAAATTGCCTTATTTTTCTTCCAAACTTCATATATGTATCAGGTAATATAGGCTTGAAAATGGATATCCTGTGGTGCTAAAGTACTTTAGAAAGAGGCGGAGACGTGTATAAATGTTTATTTTTAAAAGAAAATGTACAAAAGGGGGAATTTTAAAATACGTAACAGCTGTTTATATACATTGATTCTTATTGCTGATTAATATGTATTGCACAACCATATTATTAATTACGAGTCTGGGGCCTGGGCTTTTCTGAGATGGCAAGATGCATTAAGCGGTCGTGTCCCAGCCACCCAGGCACCAGCACCGCACCGCAGCGTGGCGAGCGCAGTGTGAGGAGCGCGGAGCCGCTGCTCGCATTGCCCCGGAGGAAATGTGTCCCCACAAGGGGGCGAGAGATCCTGCACAAGCCGGCACTAGAGAGAGCTGTTGTTGCCGGTGGAACCCACGGCCCGGGACGGGATGAAATAAATAAATAGCGTTATCTCCAGAAAAATGGTGCTGTTGATACCATCACCATCATAGTTTTAACTCTGTGTTTTGTCTTTGCCACATACTCTACAATACTTTATTTTGCCATAAGACATCTTTATGGTGGGGGCAGACTTTGCACTTAACTATACGTGCAACACTTGCACTTTACTTTTTTTTCCTCCAACTGTCTACAATTAGAGCAGCTGCATTAGGATTCCAACTGCTTCTGCTGTGAACTTTTACAATCATGGCTTTTCGTCTACTAAACAAACAGCTGTATGTTCCTTTTTTTTGTTAAGAATCACACCTGTAAATTTCAGTTTATGACACATGTCTACGTGATGTTGCCCCTAAGATTTTTGCACACTATATTCTTGTATATTATTTCAAATAAATCCATTAAAATCCGGTGGCGTGTATTACATAAAAGGAAGGACTGATCATGAAGTCAGCCCTGCAGGATGAGCACCTTGTGCATGCCAGTCTATACATGAACCCGTCCAAAGCGTGTGTGATGCCGTTGAAGGATTTCAAATACTGCACTTAAGGTTGGAGAGTCAACGTTCTTTATTACAGTTTAAGCCAAAAGAGAGTTGAAATCTATATAAATTATTTCCAAGCGAAGAGCAGTGCAATAGAGAGTCATTTCTGTTATTTATAAATACTTTTCTTTGTGTTAAAATTAGTGATTTTTAGATGGAAACTGATGATTTTGGCATTTAGAAGTACTGAATAAGGCTAAAATGTATCCAACTGTTCATACTTACAAGAAAAAGACCTACTTCCTTATTTGAGATACTCATCAATTCCCCTGCAGCGTTCAAGCATGTTCTAGTTTTTCTGAATTCAGAAGGAATGCTAAAGAATTACGTTTTCATTAGATGTGGACTTACAGCACATAAAAACTGTACAATTTCCTTACGGTATTTGTGTATAAATAAGTTCCTATAATGCAAACATAAAGCAAGAAGACAGAAGTTTCACAGATGAAGCAGGTAAACACATTTCCTTGTAAAGCTTACAGAGTTGGGAATGCAGTATCTGTGTGGCACCAAAGACCCGTGACTGCAGTACTGTGCCACCAGTTGAGAGAGTTCCCCACGTGGGTTCACTGAAGGGTTGAGATCGCTTTCTGCAGCAGCTGAACCATTATGGGATAGACTGGTGCAAATTCCTTTCCCTCTCTCGTTCGCACCGATTGAACATAAGCCTCCAGGGCACCACTAAAATAAAAGAAAGAGCAATTGGTGGTGTGCAGGTAGTGCAAGTTAAGGAGCTGCAACTGAAATTGACTTCTTTCCTGCTATAGAATTTGCCTCAGATGATCTTGCATGTTCCTGTGGAAGGAAGTGGCCACGAAAGGCCTTACAAAGCTCTACATAATTGTTCCATGATCGTTTTTCTCCTTTCCTGCATGTTTTGAGGAGTGAACAAGTTAACATTTAAATAAGCAGCGGCAGCATGTTGCAGATGGCTTGAAATGACAGCTCTGACGCACAGACTCGGGCACATTGCTGTACTGGTAACCTTTAGAAACGGAAAGGATAGACACCAGCTGCTGCAGGCGCTGCGAGTGCAACACGCAGAATGCAAACTGGGGCACTGGTGACCAACGGAGATGCCCTCAGGTGATTCCCAGGACAAGTCTCTTGAACTGCCGTGGTCCTTTGGGAAACACTGCGCTAACCCACAGCCTAAGCGTGCACGTGCGTCCGTAGGGCGTCGCGGTGGTGTTCCTAGACGTTGTCATAGGGTGTTGCACACAGTAGTCCTGTCTGAGTCACACACATGTCAAAGCTAAAGGGCAGCTGGCATTACGTACGTGTATCTAATTTAACTCGCTTTACAATGTGGGGCCACCTTTCAGCCAATGAGTCTAGGAAATAAATAGTAGTGTTGAATGAGCATAGCTGCAGAACAAAGACTTTGTAAATGCTGAGCTGTTCAGATTCCAACTTAATAGTTCATTAAGTATGACAAGTCAGTTTTGCCATGCTTGGCTTCCAGTTCGATTTTCCTCTTACCCTGTTGCCTGTGAGTAAAGCTATTGCTAAACCAGTGAGAGCTCTGAACTTCCCCACTGCCAGTGCAAGAGGAGGAGCTGGGTGTTCACACGTGGTACATGTGCACATACACACACAGACGCAGACTCACACGTGCAGAGTCCCTGGCCTGTCGCTAATGGGGTTCGACGGGGAGAAGCGTGCAATTGTGCAAGGACAGAACCCATCACAGCTTCTCTTCTGAGCACAGGATGGGAATAAAACAGCACAGGCACAAGGTGATGCCCAGCACAGCTCCTGCCCCTCAGACTCTCTTTTGGCTATGCATGGTCTAACGCAAAGGGAGGATGGATTGGATTACTGGAGAGTTCAGAGGCTTCCGAAGAATGAAGTGTCTGAGCACAGAAACAGTCTCGTGTTGGCCTGGATGCACTTGAGAGCTCTTCAATTTTGATAACAACTTACTAGTGAGTTACTGCTGCTGAGGGGTCCACACCAGGTACCAGTGTTCAATTTTGATAACAACTTACTAGTGAGTTATTGCTGCTGGGGGGTCCATACCAGGTACCAGTACTGAAGAAACACATCAACAAAGAGCAAGAGAAAAGTTATTCTCCCATTACAGCCAGAAAGGCAGGGAAAGAATATATGCACCTGGTCAGCTCCCTGAAATCCTTCAGCCCGCTCTTCCCAATGGTCTCTGAGGAGCAGG